GAGGCGAGGGGGTGGCATTTTGCAAATAAAACGGATTACAGGATTAAGCAGGGAGAACCGGGTTGACTAACGTGCCGCAGTTTTTCCCCGACGCCCAGAGTCCATTATCGTAACCGCTTCATCTAAATGGATCCTAGAATTTGCAAACGTTACAACATCGTGCAGCCAACGCTGCCGCCGCCGCTGCCGCTATCTGATTACAACACGGACAAGTACTTCCGACGCAATCGGCTGTTCCCTTTGCACGAACAACCGCCTTTTCATGGAGTCCGAGAATCACGGGGACGGGGTCAAGTGCGTCTGACTTTTTACGAGTTCGAGAACGCAATAAAACAGGCGAAAATAAGCTCGAATGATCTTCCGAGGCGGATCCGGCAAAATTTCATTTGTACCAGGATTATTTACGGACGCGCGTACCGAATCTGCAAGTCATGTGAAATACTCAAGCGCGATACATAGCGTGTTTCGAAACTCATGAGGTCGTTTCGCAGCTCGATATTAATCAAGTGAATGGTTCTACCAAATATTTATTCTTCTACGACGATATAGATTACGATCGATGTTGCGCCAATAAAGGAAACACGTAAGACTTCATCGCCCCTTTCTCCATATTGTGCTTGGTTTGACTAGACCTGTGTACAGTTCGTCTTTTTCATCCCGAGTCTCGCTCTGATGGCTAAGACAGCACAGGGGGACAAGGAAAATCGGTTGCACGCTCTACCTCGATCCTTCCAGGAAACAGTAGTCGAACTTCCTTGTGCTCGGGATTCGGTAAAAATGTTCGTACAACTCACTTCATCGCATTCCGTTTCGCTTGCTTCTTTTTTGCGCGACTCGGCCAATAACAAGGACGTGTCGAAACTGAACTGTCATAACTACCGGTCCGAGTGAACGTCTCCCTTTGACCCCTGCCATCTTAACCGGTAGAGCGAGGCTCAGAACAAAACAGGCGAAATATGTATAAATAATCTTAAATACAGTTCAGCTCTACGAGACGAATACTCTATTCTATCAAATAAACAAAACATCCATGTTTTTTAACCACTTCTTACTTTGAACCACACTATGAACACCAACTGCGTCATCCTGCTTTCATCGGGAACTCAACCCTTTGCATTTGGAGATTTTAGTATCCCGTTTACAGTATTCCCTCCGACAATCAAGTGCAAAGGGTTAATCAAAAACTGACGCCGATTGAAACAATCGGGACACTTAATAACACTGGCACCGCATAAGCCATAGAGGATCATTCTGATCGAGGATTCAACCCTTTGCACTTGGAGATTTTAATATCACATTTACAGTATCCCCTTCGACAATCAAGTGCAAAGGGTTAATCAAAAACTGACACCGATTGAAACAATCGGGACACTTAATAACACTGACACCACATAAGTCATAGAGGATCATTCTGCGAATGCTGCTCTACAAGCTGAAGGATGTCTAACGCGACGGAACTCACCGCTGGAAAAGAAGGAAGTGCTGCGGCCGATGCACTCGGTAGGTGGTGGCGAGTTCGGCGGCGCCGATGACGAAGAGGACGCGGCGTTTGCCGAGCGGTACCTGGTGCCCTTCCAAATCACCAGTTTACCCAGCACCGTGAGCAACGATTCCCGGAACGTGTTGTGCCGGCTGGCGCCGCCCAGGCTGCTGGACGAGTCTCTCTTGGAGCATTCGCCAACCGCCTCGACCTCGTCCGAGGACGATGCCAGATTCACCACCGTGTGCTGGTTGTCGGCCGGCGGCTCCTGCGGCAGGTGGTGCAGCTGTAGCTGCTGTTTGTTCCGCGTTTTCCGGCGTTTCTTCTTCTTCTTCCGCGCCACGCCGCTGCTCGCCTCATCGTCGTTGCAGACCGAGCCCACGGTCGCCGCCGATCCCTTCCGGCTATCTTCGGCGTCCGATTTCGTGGTCGTGCACGCTGCCGAGACTTTGTCCGCCTCGTCGCAGTCCTTCACCTTCGACCGTCACACGACAGGCGTTTGCCGTTACAGATTACGCGGAGTAACGCGCGAACGATTGGTCGAGGACACGCCGTTTGGCACGAACGCAATTTTTACGTGGCCCCTGTTTCCTCTTATTGACTCCCTCTTTAGCCGATACTTTGGGCGGACTTGCCGCCCTCGTAGCAACCCCTTTAACCCTAGACGATACCGTTCGACGGACACATTCTTAAAATCCTTGTACAGAAGCAAAACTATTTAGGTATTTTATTGATGTATTTTCCTTGCTTCATTCCTTAAATTATCTTGTAAAAATTTTCTCAAGAATCATTCGTTTGTAGTAAAACTTGTAAGGCCGGGGGAACATTCTTTGAAAAATAAACATCTATATAAATGTACTGGAGTGTTGAAAGTTAACCACTACAGTTGGAGCTTAATCGACGACTGCGCGAGCCATATGTGTCTTAATTTTGCAATAGTTATTGTTAGCTGAGCATTTCGATAAAGTATTAAATCTGCACCCTTCTACAGTTACAGCAGTATAATATTACGTTGCATAGGATAAAGTAAACGCTGAGAGGAAGATTTGTTGAACTTTTAGCCTAATTGCGAGCACGTGTGACTGATGTCATTCCAAGCTAAATGCCTAACACTTTCACCACCGATAAATTTCAATTATTCCATGACGCTGACACAACTATTCTGTTCTTTGCAGTTGATAGATTGATCGTCTCAAACAGGGTTCGTCCGAGGGATCAGCAGCAGCGAAACTCGAAGTCCTACTTTAGTTTAATTAGAATTCTGATGCAACGGCGCATCATCCAAACCGCAGAAAGGGATCTAATTCACGCGTGGAAACCATAAAACGTCCGAGCGAATAAAGCAATATCGAACTGCAAATCGGTTTACCGGAAACTTAGAAAACATTTAGACAGTCTTTACATAAGCGTAGGTTGATTGGTATTCGTTGCGTGCGTCAACAATGTCGTTATTCTATATATTCCGAACTGAAAGACATAAGGCTGCAGGGCATCGGAAAGACATTCGCTTCGAAAGAGATCAGTAAATTCCATTTCGATTCGCCATTTCACGCGGGTAAACGACAATTTCACAGGGCCAGAAGTTTGAAAAGATTCGACGTTTGAATTGAGACACGATGAATAATCGAGCGTCACGGAAGAATCGGAATTGCCCTCGAAAACAATCGGGATGTTCGAACCGGACGGGGTAGACAGGCGATTGCTGCTGCCACCCGCGCTTGTTCTACGCGCAAAACGGGGATATCGATTGCCTTCTACTTTCCGCATAGACTAGGCGATGTCACTTCGCGAGCGCCGTTCCCCCTAATGGGTATAGAAAAATTATTAAGCGGCGTCCGCGCTCCAGAAAGTGCATTCGAGAACTGGTTCAAACGCGCGGAACGACGGGAACACGGCCGGAAATGTGTCACGGACACACGACAAGTGCGATTCGACGGATCTTTCCGGCGTCCGCAATAAAGCTGCGACTACTCGCGGATTACAGTGAATCCGCGGCGCCTATAACGCCATTTATCGGAAATCATGCACGCCATTATTTATGCATCCGACGTGTTTCCCACGAACAACGACTGTCCTACTGCCGTCGCGTCACTCGAAAACAATTGGGGAAATTAGGTTTCTGGGAAATCAAATATTTGTGTACAGATTGGGGACCGCTGCGGCAATTTGTTCGATGATCTTCGCGGACGGTTAATCGGTTATCGTTCGTTGGCTATCTATTGTTTAACACGATGTAAATCGTGATACGTTCTTCTTTTCATTTTAACGATGGATCTAGCAGATAGATCAAAATGACCTACTTTAGATGTCCTTTGCAATTTTAGAATAGGGAGGCTTTACCGAGAAATTATTTAAATATATACTCGTGTGTATACTAAGATATAAGTGAATCGAAACTTTAATATCGTATTAACATGTTAAGTGCCGCATGATTTCATAAAGAAAAATACTCGAAATGGAAAATATATAATATTAAATCATTTGATTGAATTGCATTGTTATTATTGCAAGTTCGTCTAGCTGAATGCCATCACATTAGCTAGCATTATCTATAATGTAGAAATGTTTTCAAATAATCATCTTTTAATAGAGTGAACTATAATAATTCGATTTGTTTGGGGGTCACCAGTCAACGTGTTAATGATATCGTTATTATACGAGAAAATAATTTGAGTGAATATGATTTTCAATTGGCTCGTGTAACGTTAAAAAAGATTGTTCGGGATCTGCTTGACCAAACTGCAATTATGTTTTGAAGAATGGCTCAAAAGATCCCATATATATTACATTGTTTTTTTATTCTAGCAAGTTGGTTCATGCCGCACGCAATAATGTCATTTGCGTGTAACTAGATTGAACTTGCATCGACGGTGATGGGGAAAGGATGGAAAAAATGCCTGAACGTGAAAGAAGCTTGGAAAAACCGGTGGGACTCGAACTCGTACCCTTCGGTTTACGAAACGGCTATCTTTACACTACGCCATTGCGGTTTCTGTGTCTATCATATTTATAATTCCTATTAGACGAATATTGTCACAGAATGTTATTACTTTTACCATACGTTCGTTTGATACGTTTATCACGTGAACGAATTAAAGGGATACAAATGTTTTATATTAATCTTTATAACACTATTATAACAAATTTTATCTTATCTATAAAATCTATTCTTTAAAAATCCAAAATATATTTTATACAAACTGAAATTTTTGTATCTTTGGCTATTAGTCAAAGGGAATTTAATTTTAATAGAAAATTAATGATTCTAAGAAGACACTCTGAATTCCTGAAAACCGCGAGATCAACTGCGTTAATTATTATTGCACGTTGAAATAAACCTCGAACTTCAAAAGTCACTCGGCACAACGTAAGGATTCAACTAGCACAGCAATTTGTATCTTCATTAATCGGATTCCGACGATTACCTTGAACGTCGACGTGTATATGGCTCGCGCGGACGGTCGCGTTACCCTGCATTTGTTGCTCTGTTTACTAAACCATCTCGAACGAACCTGATCGTTGTTTCCATAATCATTTTAACTTTCTGTTTACATTTCCGTCGACACAGAAAACCAAAGGAAACATTAGTTACACGGGGAAGAGGTTTAAAGAGAAGAATGGATTCCGCCATGTTTAAAAACAGTCACGCATAGGAACCATCGAAATCACAATATCAAAACGATCTTGAAGATCTTGAAAAATAAAACTCTTATTCTTCTTCAAACCTGATTTCTCTTCAGTTTCGATCCTCTTAAATTAATCCATACAAATTTACGATATTTCTCTACGAATCATTAATTCGAAAGCCGATACATCTTTCCAAATGTTTAATCTCCAGTTTTAAAAAATCTTTACGCAGCCACGAATAAGAAAGGTCGATAAATATTGCAATCAATTCTAAGCTAAAAATAGTTACAAAAACATCTGTTAATGTTTATATTTTCTATGAAACACCCGGTATGTAGCGGAGAAGCTCGCTCGACGCTTTCGACTCCGTCGATAAAGAATCGGTGACAATAAAAGCTGCTGAAAACGCGAACTGTACGCGATATTCCAATAGGACAATGTAATAAGAAAAAGAATTGTGAGCTTTGTGTACCATCCATTTTTCGTAGAATGGTGTGACAGCGAAGTAGTTCACATGTGCATACATACACGGAGTCAATAACTGTTTCAATAAAGCAAAAAGAAAGAAAGAAAGAAAACTTTCTATCGTCGTGCGCAGGGACTATACACGAATTCATGCAACGCGGAATCGACCTTCCGTTATCCGACGGTCTGCGAAGAATACCTTTAACGAGATCCCCGTCTATCCGTTTTGATTCGAACGTCTAAATTCATGGTCCCATTCGGCTATAAAGCAGCGAGGTCATCCCTCCACCGTTCGAATTATTCAAATATTTAACACAGTGGCTTAGCAGCGCATAAGATGAGTAACATGGGACCGTAAACTTCCAACCCCTATTAGCTATTCATGGCTCAAAGCACCTGACATAATTTATCTTAGACGTTAGGAGGCGCAAAAGTAATCAGCTTTGAACTCACAAGGATGACTATAGACAAATCGATAAAAAGATAGGTCGTGCGTTTGATTCTTGACTAGAAGGATTTGAAAAGGAGCATTTCACTTCTAATTCGAACGATCAGACCGCTGAACTCCGCATTTGATTCGGAACGTGCAACCATCTGTTTGCAGGAGCCATTTTGAACTGCAGGGACTTCATGGAATCCAAGAGCTATATACGTTGGTATCAGTAAATTTTGATGTATTTGTCGTGTATAGATGATTTTTAGATTTCAATATTGTTAGAAGCTCGAGAGATTTAGTAAACCTCGAATTTTATTTTGAAATTTGTGGCAGGACTCTTAATAAAATGTACAAGTTTTTCTATGATTTCAGTCTTTGATCATTGATGCATGAAAATCTGTATCTGCATAAATGCATAGTCTATTCGTTGATATTACAAGATTGTTGTTTTCGAAAGATTCATTCTGATGTAGAGAATTGCTTCTGGTAGCTGAAAATAACAATTTTTCTAATTGTGACGAAGAGAAGGTACTTGTTTCCAATAACCGAAACACGAAGAGGTTCGCGTTGACAATTTCTTTTGCAGTTTTGCGATTTAATGTACGCAGAGAGCCACGTAAAAACTGTGTTAATCGTCAAACGGCACACGAGAGCCAGCGAACGGAAATCCAGTGATGATATTATAAACGTATAAGCGTTTTACGCTCGGGAGAACTCGTTCCACCTACTCTTCCACGTTAAGTTCGTTTATTGATTAACAAAAACACACTTCAGTCTCAGCGATTATGCAGTGGTATATAAATTGCAACAGAAACCAAACGATTTGAATATTTAAACGCACAGGTGTGCAAGAATCAAGTGTATACCACATAATTTAAAAGTTACTTACAGGCTCGCTATTATTTTACTCTAGAAGTTATTTTCGTACATTCTGATTTACTTCCAATATTGCGTTCAATAAAATCTCGTCTATAGGATATTCAAAAAATAAATTGCAAAGGGATTTCATCTTCGCCCGATGTTTTTGTCGCGAGTTAATTGAAATTACCGTGTTAACTCCTAGGGGCCAAGATTACTCGAACAACACACGAGAACTTCTAAACAAGATGTCCCATAAACGCGGAAAATTTACACAACTTTCAAACAAATTTCCACATAAATATCTATAAAATCGCGTGGATTCAGTACGTCCCCTTGTAATACCTTTACTCGATAAATCAACCTTTAATAACCCAGTAGCGTCCAATGGACACATTTTCAAATGTATTCATTTCTATAAATTATTCCTTTAAACGAGTTACAATATTTATTCCTATAATACGGTAATAATAAATCAATGAATTTATTTTAATATAATATCACGGATTTTCAATCATTCTTCTGTTGGATAGTGTTGGTCAATTACAATGCAAATATATACCAAATTCCTAAGATTTAAACGGTGCCATTCATTTCCTCGCATAAACACGAAACCCAACAGCATCAAACAGAACAAAAGACACGATCAAACTTAATACCGTTCCCGCTTCAATATCAACGCATCAAAACCATTCCTAAATAGAAATTTTCCGTTCACAGAATCGCGGTAAGGAAATATCGCTGGGCGCCCGCGCAATCACGGAGAACGGTTGCAAGTCCTTTGCATCCTCTACGAGTTAACACGATTCTTCGGCAACTTCATCGTAACATCTGGCACACGCGTTTAATCAGCCCGAGAGACCGTACTAACAAATCCCAAGTCCCAACAGAAAGTTCGGTCGCCGAGAGCGATCTCGCGCGCTAGAGAGAAACAAAGAGACAGAAACACAGAGGGAGAGAGGGAGAAAGAGAAAGAGAGGAAAAAGACTTCCGTTCGTCGCGTCCTCGAGAGGATTGGAGGACTCACCTCGAAGACCTCGAGTTCCAGCGTGTCGACCTCGACGCTCATCGTCTATCCTACGCAAACTATAAACCTTGTATAAGGCCAACCTCTTCTTCCTCGCGGCACTCGATCCGTGCCGACGAGACAATGTCCACCTCGCCTCTTACATATTTCCACCTGGATCCCTCCCCTTCTTCGTCCTCGCGAATCATCGCAGGTGCGGGACGGCATCAGCCCGTTATCTGTACCTTCGTTAGAGAACGATGCCGCTCGACGACCTCGTTACCACTGATCCACCGTAGGCTGCGTCCTTCCGCGGGCATTTTCCTTCCGGCGATGCACCGTGCGCTCACCGCGGTACTCTCGTTGATCCCCTATCCTCGGCCTGGATGCGTCCACGGATGACTCGCTCGTCAGGCCACGTGGCATTCAATCGGTCATCGTTTCTCGGTCACACTGCTCGGACGACACGGGGCTTAATCGACACTCGATGAACGCGACGCCTCGACCGTGGAATACCTTTAGCGGGTTAGCTTTTGCTCCCTCGAACGTGTCACGTGATCACGCTCGGCAGAGGATCCCGCGATGAAACACTGGGGCATTTTAGATCGTCGGAAGGGGGCATCGCTTCTCACCTGGTTTCAACGGGGGTTTCTGCAAAGAAATTGTCGTGGTCACGCGATCTGCGATCATCGACGGCCGCCGTCGCGTGCGCCAACGGGATAACCCCCCTTTTTTCTTCCTGTCAGCCGAAACACCTAGCAAATTGAGGAACGATTTTACTTAACGCGCGGAACAGCTGCAACGTTGTGTTTTCGTTACAGGAGTTCTACCGTCGATGATACGCCCCGCGAGGAAAATAACGTGTTATTTTCGTTTTCGGGGGAAAACACGTGCATTATTGACACATTGACTCCGGTGGGCGTATGTCTTGCATCGTTTCGAGTTAAATATAGAGAGCGCACGATTTTATTCAGGTTTTCTACGTCACGGGGGAGAAATTCTTCGGTGGACCTGCGTGCACGAGATTGCGAGTGGTTATTCGCAATCGTGAAGAGAGGTTTCGTTATTGCTCCAGGGAATTTCGTTACGAGTCTAATTGCGATAGTCGTTTACTGATTGGCACGTTAACTGCTGCAAGAATGGTGAGCTTTTTGTGTATCGCTTGTTCTTTCGTGGTAAGGATGTATAAAAGTAATTGCTAATTACTTGGTGTCGTAATTCTTATGTCACACTGTTATCTAGATATTTACTAAATATCCTGATACCGAGACTAATTACTACACATTTTTATCCAACACAAGTCGTCTAACATTAATTATCTTGTAATCATGGCAGCGAACGTTTTAAATTATACAGGGACTTAATTAAATTGCATAATCAAAATCTTCATAGTGTTATATCGAAGATTCGTTCCAGCATAAATCTTAATTCACAAAATTATTGACTTCAAATGTCTTTGCGGGAGTATGAATAATTCTGCAAATATGCCTGAATATTCGATTGCCCTCGTAAGGGTTAAATGCGAACGCAGGTTCGTGCACGGCTACATATAAATTTTATACTTGTTGCATGACTCGCGATGAAATCGCTCGATAACCAAGGATCGATACATTTAATTCATCGTAGTGGCGTACTCGAATGTATTCATCCGTATACCGGCGTTTAATATTTTCACCCCACGTGGAACACGCTGATTCAGGTTAACCCTTTGCACTCATCGCCCCCTGCGATGTCATTAACCGTGGATTACTGCAGTGGGGTGTGTGCCCCATTCATTTTTAAGTGTTTCTAAGGGATGGTGGCACTTCGTACTTTATGACTCCCGGTTTTCTTAGGAAAGGGAAAAAGTTATGTTTCCCGCGGAGCTGCGTTAAACGCGGGGGAGAAATAATCAAATTAACAATATTGAATCCTACACATATTACATGAAATAATATTCTTGTGGAGCCGGAATTTTAGCAGATAAATTTATTCGAATAATCCTGAAATATTTTAATTTCGCATCATTTATTTTGTAACGCCAGCTCGACTGTCCGTGCGCGATAAAAAGTTCCGCTTAATATTCCTATTGTTTACCATGTAAGAGTATTATAAAATGAAAATCGAATATATTCGGTACCCACTTATTAAATTACCGATTACGTACACGTTTGAATTAAGCGTTTAATATTGTAGCGGATTTATAAATAATACCCTTTAAAAATGTATTTTGAAATTTTTCTTTCTTTCGAGTGTTACTTTTATGTATTCAGAGAACTACCATAGAACTAAAATAGAAAGGAGATATTTAGCAAGCGTTTCTTTAAGAGTTTATACGTCCGTCGCGGCGTTCTTAAGAAACAAAGAAAATCCCTCGCAATTGTTCGTAAAAAATGGATCTTACTAGAAATCGCGTCCCACCGCGAAGTTGCAAAGTTGAGCGGAGATGCGCAGTTGCTTGGTAACTGTTCTAAGTTCTAAGTCTGAGAACCAGTTTCGTATCTGCCATAAAATCAACAACTTTGTTGACCCAATGGTAAACACTTACGCGCAGATATGAAGCGTTTGCTTCGGAGTCTAATGCAAAACAAAATGTTTTCTAAAAGTGGGGAACACTTTTACTTTCTACCTATTGTTTTAAGAAATTGAGGCGAATTCCTTCTTTCTTAATCACCGACACGAGAACATTTTTAACGATTTTACGAGCAGCGATATTTTGGACCATTCAAATTGTTATCTTGTTTAAACAGGATGCGACAATCTTGTTATTAAGTCGGATATAAGTAACTAAGAATACAAGTCAGGTATAAATAAGTGAGAAGTTACGCGATATCTTTAAAACACTGAATCAAAATGGACCCGGCCACCGGAAATATCAGCGATAAAGACTTCGTGCGGTACAACAAAATTAACACTTTTTCTACTGTAATTTGTATTCCGAACTTACTTCAGAAACTATACACTGTCTTCAATATTTCAATCGGTACAATGTATTTCCTTAACGAAAACTCAATCTTCCTGGACTTCTTAAATATGAAATTTCATTTAATGATCTTTTCAAATATTAAGCATTAAATTACTGTATTGATACTGTGCGAGTTAAAATTGATTAAAGTTGACATTTAATCGAAGGAAGAAATTAATCAGCAGATTTCAACGCTGTATCAAAATGAAATATTAATTCGGTAGGCATTTATCGTTGACACGATAGCTTCACGAGAGTTTATTAGCAATTAGCTCGTCCGCCACTGCAAACTCCGTTCGTCGCTATTTACCGAAGACATCGGTGACAGGCAAGATGTTTCGCGAAAAATGCGGCCGTCGAAGTGTTAATACTTCACCCACCGACAGGTATTTAATAGCCTTTTAAAAATCAATAATCAACAGCTGAGGACTTCTTTACAAATTCTTGAACGGCAATTTCGTCTGCGATCCGACAGGTCATTTCCAGTAATAATTTCTAGACTAGTAATTAAGACGGAAGTAATTAAACTCTACTTTCTTATAAATTAATGATCACTTTAACGGTAATAGTCTCCGTCAATGCGAACAATATTCACATCGATCAAAGAGAAACGCGATCTTTCATTTATGAATATTTAACCTTTGTCGTCAGTTAATTCACTCCCATGATGAATGTATAATTTCCTTCTCCAATGAGCAATTATCAAGAATAAAGTAACTCTTTGTTTCTTCTAGCTGAAGAAAAAAATTATAGGACACAAGATTGTCAGACTTCCGCTAGATAAAAAGTAGTAATCCTTCAGCGATTTGTGTCACCTAAGCATGACTCCAGTCATCCAACGACTAACCCTTCGCATTCGAGAAGTAACTCACAGTCGCCATTCGGTTTGATGTAGAAAAATTATGAAGTTATATATTCAACATCAAATTTTGTGTAATGCAACTGAAATAAAATCGTCCTATCCCTTCTGTTTAATACCATCAAAAATTACATTAGTATTTCATTAGAAAAATGATAATATATGCAGCAGAAACACTTCTGTGTGAAAAGGGTTAAAATCTATCGAATAATCTAGATTCGAATCTAAAATTCGACAAGCATTACACTGACAGCATCACACTAACCTATGCACTGTTAACATTACAACTACCGAGCGTTTAATAAAACTAATATATAATCCTCATAAAAATGGTAACAATAGATTTTTTCGATTGAAATTATTTATTTCTAAAATCATTTTGGATATTTAACACTTTCGAGATATCAATAATTGCGAAATAAGAAAACTGAACCCACCATTTTGACGAGTGCAGTAGTTCGAGTGTTGATCATTGTAACATATTATACGTAAAGTGCGCACACTGAAATCTGAAGGAATAATTTTCGGATAAAATGATCGGTCAGTAAGGTGTAAACACGGCGACAGTATCAACGGAGGAGGATGCAACCGACCGCGCAAGATCCTCCGTGTTTTCTTCGGCGTCCTTGGCTCCGCGTGTACGCGAATGATGTCAGCGTTCGACCAAGCCACCTTCGGTTTTCGTCTACGAACGAAAATACACCCGGTGCCGCGTACGTGCACTTCCTCGAAATTATTGGGGGTACCGGAAACTTTTTTTCTTTTAATTTTAGGATTTCTAATTTTGGACTTGAATTAATTTACATTTGAATCTAACGTCGCTAAAAATAACGGTCACTGATTAAATATTCGGCGGAACAGTAACACAAATGAAAGACGATTTATTTTCATTCAAAATAATATATTAGGTAACTAACAGAATCGTAGCAGTCCTTCAACGTAAGAGTTAAACAAATTCAAGAGTTTCTATATAAAAAAATGTTTTTTTTTTATAAACATTTTATCCACTAAAATAATCACTTTCCCAATCTACCATCATTTCCTAGTATTAATTTCGTTTGATACGTCAAAGTTATGAAGTTCGACATTTAATAATAAACTTCATACAACCCATCAATCCGTGTAAATAAAATAACTTTGTTCCCAAATTTCGAACCTACGTTTCAGACCTAAGACCACGTTTCATCAATTGAATATTTCCAGTGAAAAACTTTCGAGTGCAATTGGTTAAACCCTTAGCACTCGAGAGCTGCCTTTCAGTCGCCATTCAATTAACCCATCAAATTTAAAACTCAATATTAAATTTCGTATAATGTATCAACACACGGGACATCGAAATAAAGTAGTTCTGCCGTTTCATTTACGCAAGATGTATCTTAGACGTTAGTTGCAGGAAGTATCGTTGATACCTCGTCAGAGAATAATGAATATGTCTGGAGAAAAATATTGTCGAGAGCAAGGGGTTAATACTATTGGATCTCGGCGACGCCGATTTATAAGAATGACCCGAGATTTCCAGGGAATCCGTGGCCGGCGAAGAGCGAGTGAGACCGCCTCCTTCGTCGCCGATCTCCTAAGACGCGAGTCACGATAATGGCTGTTACGTAAGGACAGCGGCTCTCAACCGGCGAATCCGTTCTGCACGCGTGCGGAAATTGGTATCGCGGCGATAACTTGGTGGTGCAATTGCATCGCGAAAACCACGCGCCCTATGCACCGAAACTATTTTAGTGCGACGGAATACACCGAACGATAAATCGGACACACGGCTGCACGCTCGCGCGCGATCTCGATGACGCGTTGATGATCTTTCAGAGGCTATCGATAGGATCGTCGACACCGGTGTTT